AAAAAAGAAATAACTATAATGAAAGAAGTACTAAGTGCTTCTAAAGAATACACTGATAAAAAAAATAGAGGAGAATATAAAAATGATGGAATCCTTGAATGAGAAATATAGGAAAGAAATAGAATGCATGAAGCAGATTCAAAGTGACATACAGGAAATTAAAACCTCAATCACAAGCTGGCAAAACCGTTTAAATGAAAGTGAAAATAGATTTTCAGACCTTAAAGACACCATTGCAGCTAGTGAAAAAGTAAGAAAAGATCTCTTTAAAACAACTAGAATGCAGGAAAAAATAATTCAATACCTGTAAGACGATGCAATAATGAACAATGTGAGACTAACAGGCAACAATGAGAAGGAAGGAGTCAATACAAATGATATAAAAAGAATATGGGCAGAAGTGATAGCAGAAAAATTCCCAAATATGGGGAAACAATTTGACATTCAGTAACCAAAGCATATAGAACTCCAAATAACATCAACCCAATTAAAAACCACATCCAGACATAATAATCAAGATCCCAGAAATTCAGCACAGGAACAGTATACTAAAAGCCGCTAAAGAAACAGATCTCATTTAAAGGAAAACCCATCAGAATAATGGCAGATTTCTCTTCACAAACCATCAAGTCAAGAAGAGCATGGAGTAAAGTACTTCATGTCTTGCAAGAAAATAAATTCCAACCCAGACTGATATACCCTGCAAAACTCAAGTATAATGGAGAAATGAAATACTTCCATGACAAAGAACTGAAGAATTTCACGATGACAAAGCCAAGCCTACTCAGATTACTAAATGATGTTCTCGAGAGGGAGCAAAATGATCACAACTCCAAGAATGAGAATGGAAAGAACTCACCAAATAGGGCAAACAATTAAACACAGGAAAGTAAGAGGTATACAAAAGTAGTCTTTCAGTTATTCTTTTGTGTACAGCAACAAAATATTTCCATCAGCACACTCTACAAATGGACTTGTCCTGCACCCTATGGGTCATGACTCCCATCTGGGTCTACAGGGTGGATTTCAAGGAAAGAGCAGTAGCTCAGCCCCACAAGTGACACCTGGCCACTAGTAAGTGTCATGGACATTATCCATGTCCACAACACATTAGAACTTTGTGCAATATCCTATCCCCAAACTATTAAAGTGCTGGTCATTTATTTGCCATTCCAGTATTTATCTTATGTTTTATTCTTAGTACTTCTTTATTATCATGAAAACTTTTTCTTAGTTTGTTTTGAAACATTTAATTTTTAATTAGTATTTAATTTTCTGAATATTGCTTAATCTTAATTTTTGTTTTAAGATTTATATCTTTGACTTACAATTTATTTAAAAGACATGGGATGATATTTTCTCCTAGTATTACAAACTTAAAAAGTACATTTCCATTTTTCGTTGACTTTACATTACTTCTTCCCTGTCTTTTATACACACATACACACAAACATATATATATGAAAAAAAAAATATGTGTATAACCTGACATAAGATTGGTACAGTTTCATAGAAATCTTTGATGACCTTTTATTTAAGGGTTCACCTAATATATTTTATATAGTCCTGCATAACTATTATTTTGAGAGCTCTTTATTGTTTATTCAGGAGCATATTGCAACTTCTCTTGCCTTTTGAATTATGCTCTTCGTTATTTCCTATATGTTATGTCTGGAGGTATTAGAATATTTCAAGTTAGTATAACTGGAAAATATTTTACTTTTAGTTTTCAAAGGTATTTTTGTTCAGTATAAAATTCAGAGAGGACAGATTTTTTTTTTTTCTTTCAGTCCTTTAATTATTCTAGTTTGTTACACACTTGGTCTTTTTTTGTTTGTTTTCTTTTCTTTCTAATGTGGAATAAGATGCTATTTAATTCTGTTCTTCCATAGCTAGTTTTTTTTTATGTATATGCTTTAATGATTTTATTCTTTCCAATAAGTTTTGGACAATTTCATTTTTGTCTATCTGGGTATGATTTTATTCAAATTTCTTGTGCAAACGGTTCATTTTTTTTGGGAAATGTGGTGTTATAAGTTCAGGTAAATTCAGAAATTTTAAATCCTTAAAAATAAAATAAAGGGCTGGTGAGATGGCTCAGTAGTCTAAAGCACCTAATTAGAACAAGCTTAGCAAAGCACAGGGACTGCGGTTCAATCCCC